AAAAAATTATAAAAATTTAGAAATTATTTTTTTTTTCAGGGCAGTAGCCAGGAAAAATGTTTCGAAAAAAATTATAAAAATTTAAATTTTTTTTAAAAGGAATTTTTTGAAATTTTAGGTTTTTTTGAAAAATTACGGATTTCATTCGAGTACCCGGTTCATCAAAAACCGGTTTCCAACTACTCCAACATCAATATCAATCTATTAATACTAGTTCTAGCTTTAATTTTTGAAACATTTCCATTTTTAATCGAATACCCGGTTCAAGAGTAACCGGTTATAGACTATTTTTTTAGCAACCCTAATTATACTGTAATTGTTTTACCTTTAAAATTTGAAAATTTTCCGTTTTTAAACGATCGGGTACCCGGTTCAAAAGTAACCGGTTACCTAGTATTTTTTAAGCTACCCGAATTAAACAATACTCACAGCAACCAGTCAATTCAGCTATTATTTTTGCCTCAATTTGTTAAAATTTGTAGTGTTTTAATCGAGTACCCAGTACATGAGTAACCGGTTACCAACTACTTCAACTACAGATATTTACAAAAATCTAATAATACCAGTTCTAGCTTTAATTTTTCAAAAAATTTCCCTTTTCAAACGATCGGGTACCCGGTTCAAAAGTAACCGGTTACAGGAGTATATTTTGAACTACCCAAATCAAACAATATTCGGAACAGCCACTCAAATCAGCTATTATTTCTGCCACAATTTGTTAGAATTTTATGTTTATACTTAATTTTTTTTTCGAATATTTTCCATTTTAAACGATCGAGTACCCGGTTAAAAAATAACCGGTTACCGAGTATATTTTAAAATACCGAAATTAAACAATACTCGAAGAAAACACTCATATCTGGTATTATTCCAGTTTGAAGTTGTTGTAATTCTCAATGGTTTAGTCGAGTATACAGTACATGAGTAACCGGTTACCAACTACTGCAACTGCAGACGTTAACATCAATCAGATAAAACAAGTTCTACAAGTGCAAGGGAGTTCTTGATTTAATTTTAGGACAATTTCCGTTTCTAAACGATCGAGTAACCGGTTCTAATGTAACCGGTTACCGAGTATATATTTCAAAATTCCCAAATCAATATTCATATTCTACTTATTTTCAAATATTTCAATATTTTTTCGAAAATTTTCCATTTTTATTCTATCGAGTACCCGGATAAAAAATAACTGGTTACCGAATATATTTTTAAAATACCGAAATTAAACAATACTCGAAGCAACCAGTCAAATTAGGTATTATTTCTGCCTCAAGTAATTGTAATTTTCAATTGTTTAATCGAGTGGCCAGTGAATGAGTAACCGGTTACCAATTACTCGAAGCATAGATATTAACATCAATCTAATAACACTTGTTCTTGCTTTAATTTTGGAAAATTCCCGTTTTTAATCGATCGAGAATTCGGTTCGAATGTAACCGGTTACCGAGTATATTTTTAAATTCCCAAATCAATATTCGTAATCTACTTACTTTCAAAGATTTCAATATTTTTTTCGAAAATTTTCCGTTTTTATTCGATTTAGTACCGGGTTCAAGTGTAACCGGTTATCTAGTTAATTTTTAAAAATACCAAAACTAAACAATTCTCGAAGCAACAACTCAAATTGGGTATTATTCCGGTCTGAAGTTGTTGTAATTTTCAATGGTTTAATCGAGTACCCATTACATGAGTAACCGGTTACCAACTACTGCAACTGCAAACGTTAACATCAATCAAATAAAACTAGTTCTAGAACTACTAGTTCAGTTCTAGATTTAATTTTAGGACAACTTCCGTTTCTAATCGATCGAATAACCGGTTCAAAGGTAACCGGTTACCGAGTATATTTTAAAATACTGAAATTAAACAATACTCAAAGAAACCACTCAAATTCGGTATCACTCCAGTCTGAAGTTGTTGTAATTTTCAATGGTTTAATCGAGTACCCAGTACATGAGTAACCGGTTACCCACTGCACCAACTTCAGATATTTACATCAAATGAATAATAATGTTTATACTTATTTTTTTCGAAAAATTTCCATTTTTAATCGTTCGAGTACCCGATTAAAAATAACCGGTTACCGAGTATGTTTAAAAAAAACCCAAAGCAAACACTCAAATTATGTATTATTTCAGCCTTAAGTTGTGGTAAGTTTTAATGGTTTAATCGAGTATCCAGTGCATCGAGTAACCGGTTCAAAAGTAACCGTTTACCGAGTATATTTTAAAAATTCTCAAATCAAAATTCATATTCTACTTATTTTTAAAGATTTCAATATTTTTTTTGAACATTTTCCATTTTTATTCGATCGAGCACCCGGTTAAAAAATAACCGGTTACCGATTATATTTTAAAATACGAAATTAAACATTACTCGAAGTAACAACTCAAATTAGTTAATATTCCGGTCTGAAGTTGTTATGATTTTCATTGTTTTAATCGAGTACCCATTACGTGAGCAACCGTAACCCATTACTTCAGCAACTACAGACGTTAACATCAATCAAATTAAACTAGTTCTAGAACTACTAGTTCAGTTCTAGATTTAATTTTAGGCCATTTTCCGTTTCTAAACGATCGAGTAACCGGTTCAAAACTATCCGCTTACGAAGTACATTTTAAAAATTCTCAATTCAATATTCATATTCTACTTATTTTCAATGATTTCAATATTTTTTTTGGAAATTTTCCATTTTTATACGGTTTGGTACCCGGTTCAAGAGTAACCGGTTATCGAGTATATTTTAAAATACCGAAATTAAACAATACTCGAAGCAACAACACAAATTGGGTATTGCTCCAGTCTGAAGTTGTTATAATTTTCAATGGTTTAATCGAGTAACCAGTGCATGAGTAATCGGTTACCAACTACTCCAATCATAGACATTAACATCAATCCAATAATACTATTTTCGCCTTTAATTTTTGAAAATTTTCCATTTTTATTAGAACGAGTACCCGGTTCAAAAGTATCCGGTTACCGAGTAAATTTTAAAATTTCTCAAATCAATATTCATATTCTACATATTTTCAAAGATACCAATTTTTTTTTTAAATTTTTCATTTTTATTCGATTGAGTACCCGGTCCAAAAATAACCGGTTACTGAGTATATTTTAAAATACCGAAATTAAACAATACTCGAAGCAACAACACAAATTGGTTATTATTCCAGTCTGAAATCATTATAATTTTCAAGGGTTTAATCGAGTAACCAGTAGGTAAGTAACCGGTACCCACTACTCCAACTGCAGACATTAACATCAATCGAATAATAACATATTTCCTTAAATTTTTTTGAATTTTTCCGTTTTTAGTCGTTCGGGTAACCGGTTCAAAAGTAACCGGTTACCGACTATATTTTAAACCAAATATATCCAACAATATTCATAATTTAATTATTTTCAAAAATTCCACTGTTTCAAAATTTCGCAAAAAAATTGTTTTTTTTTTTTGTATTTTTTTCTGTATTTTTTTTTTTTTTCTGTAACCGATTACCCGGTTTAATTTTCTTTTTACTTTTGGTGAGGTTAATATCTGAGTAATCGCCTGACAACTTCCTCGGCCTTAACGTAGTTATCTCTCCATACTGGGATATGTCAACATTTTTTGGCCAGTTCAAAAGGCCAATATCTAAGAACGGGCGGGCCATTGCCGTTATTTGAGATAACTGTTGATAAAAACGATTTTGCAAAAGCCCAATTAGTCATGTCATGTCTGTGTCTGCTTGTGTCTGTTGTTATTATCATTATCTTCCATTCAAGTCCAAAGAGAGTACTTTTGAACCGGGTACTAGACTTCCTCTTTGGCACTCTCTCCCCCCCCCTCTCCCTCTCTTTACCATTTCCATTTCCACCTCACCTGTCAGCCAGCCTGTCATCCATTCATTTTCATTGCTTATCAATCCCCGATTCCTAGCTATCATCATTCTAATCATATTTTGTTGCTGGTTTTGTTTACCTTTTACCATATTTACAACAACAACAATAACAAGCCAAACTATTTAGGGCTCCAAGAAAAAAAGAAAAAAGAAAAACAAACAGATATCGCCGTGTGACTGATTTAAACCAGAGCCAGAATAAAGCCAAAGAGAACGACCACCACCAACCAGCAACACCAACAACTCTATGGCAAGAGCAACACAAGAGGCCAGAGTTATGAAAAAAATGAAACAAAACCCCCCTCAAAACAACAACAACACCAACAAAAGCAAAGCGCGTTTTTTATCTAACCCCCACATAGATCCATAGGTAGTACACACACACGCACAGCCAGCCTGGCCAGCCATTCAATTACATGTGTTCTCCAACACCCCAACTTCTCAATGAGCCTGGACTGTCTCCCCCTTTTGTGTGTGTGCCTGCTCTTTTGTTTACATTCCTGGCCGCATTGTTTTTGTTGTTATTGTTATTTCTTTTTTATGGCACGTTCATAGGCTAAGGTGTAACACAAGCCATATGTTTTGTTTTGTTACTGGTTAAAGAGTATCACCGTTGATTGAGCTCTCTTTCTCTGTGTTGTTCTCTCTGTGTGTGTGTCACATACTCCCCCACTGCCATTCACTCACATACATTACTGCATTAAATTGGAGCACACAGCCGTTAAGAGCAAAGAGAGGGAAATGAAAGAACGAGTTAAGTTTCAAGTGCCGAGCACAACTTATTCGTGTTTACTGTTGTTGTTGGTGTTATTGCCACCTCTAAGACTGGGTGTGTGTGTGTGTGTGTAAAACACAGCCCCTTTTTGAACAAAAAAACACACAATGCTCAACCTCCCAACAAGAGCATGGGGTAAATGGGAGTTTAGTTCAATTTAGGCTTTGATGCGATCAGCTTGGATTTTTTTTTCGACGCTTCAAAGAAAAATTAAAAAAAATAGAAAAAATTAAAAATAATAAAAAAAATTAAATAATAGAAAAAAATTAAAAAAAAAAATAAAAAATTGTGAAAAAAATTTAAAAATTCGTGTTTCGTGTTTTTTTTTCTCCCCCTCGCCACAGCTTCAAAACGTCGTCGCCGTCGCCGCATCCCAGCCGAATGAAAATGGAAAAAACTCCCCGTTACACACAGCGGGAGCGTAACATGGTCTTGGGCTATGCCGCCCAGTACAAGGACATCATCGAAAACAAACGCACCGATGCCGAATCGAATCGCAAAAAGGACGAGGTATGGCGTCAAATCGCCAAGGAATTCAATGCTCGCGTCTATCATCAGCGTTCGTCGAAGCAATTGCGTCAGCTGTATAAAAACATGAAACTGCTGCTGAAAAAGGATCTGTGCGGCGAGGGTAAGGGTAATCGCACCTTTATGGATCTGCTCAACACCATATCGCAGCAGGAGTCGGTGGCCCAATACATATCGGAGCAAATGTCACCGAATGGCTATAGCAATGGTGGGGGCAGCAGTGGCCGACAAAAGTATGAGGATGATTTTGATGATTCAAAGGTAAGTGTTTTTTAATTTCGTTTTTTTTTTTTTGGTGAAAGAGAAAAGAAGAGCGAAAATGATAACAGGCCGGCCAGGGGATAGGGAACAGGGGTGTAGGCAGGGTGGGGGGGGGGCTACGGAATGGGTACTTTTTTGCCAGTTTTTTTTTTTATTTTTAAATTTTTTTACTTGGAAAAAATACTTTTTTGGTAACTCGCCCAAAATGGTTTCGAAATTCAGTTTTGGGGGGTTTAATTTGGTAAAGGGGGTTTAAAATGATTTGCGAAAAAATGATTTTTGAATATTTTACCAAAAAAAAAAAAAAAACATTTTTTTAAAATAAAACAACACATTGTGAAATTTTTCAAAAAGCCAGGGTTGGGAATTTTTATATTTTTTTTTTTGAGAAAATTAAAAAAAAAATTAAAGTATTTTGGAAAAAAAAGCGTAACTATGGTTAAATAAAAGTGTATGTGTAATCAATTCTCTTCTTCTTTTTTGGAAGTAAGATAACAACAAACTGGCTTTAAAATGGCCAACCCCTGCCCCCCTCAAAGCGTCAGCAAGCGTCAAGTGGATTTTTTTTTGATAACAGAAAAAAATGAGGTACTCATTCAACACTTCTTCACACAATTGCCTTTGGGGGAGGTCAATACAGGGTGATTTTAAGAAAAAACTGCAATAAAGTCCAACGCCATAATTTTTAATTTTTTTTTAAATTTTATTGAATGAAATCAAAAAAATTTCGGAAATAGCACCAATATTAAGAATATGTTTCGATTTGTTCGATTTGGTGGCCACCGTCACCTTTGGCACGAATTATGACCTTCAAACAGCCAATGCAGCCGTCACACGCTGCCCGAATGTTGCTGTGTAGTATTCCCGGTCCATTCCCGGTGAAGCGTTCTTGAAATTTTTGGAATTTCAATGGCTTTACTCTGAGCTCATTTTTCAATATTTGCCGAATGAATTTTTTAACTTTTTTTTACAAATTTCCAACCCTGGATTTTTTTTAGATATTAAAATACAATTTAACTTCAAAAAATCCTTACTACATCTTATTTTACGATTATTTTCCATTTTTTCGTTGGGTTTTTTATTTTTTACTATACAAACTTTCCAACCCTGGATAAATTTAAAGTTCCAATTTCTGCAAATTTTCGTATATTTCCATATTTATAGGTTTCTGTCTTAATTTTCCCATTTAACATTGTGAGTTTTGTTTTTAAAAAATTCAAAATTCCCAACCCTGGATTTTGTTGTCAGAGATTAAAAAGCTATTTAACTTAAAAATCTCTACCTTTTTTGTATTTTGCGATTTTTTTCACATTTTTCCCAATTTATTTGCTTTGCAAATGTTTCTTCTTATACAACATTTCCAACCCTGGAACTAAAAATTCCCATTCCTGTATATTTTTTGTATATTTGCCATATTTATAAGTTTCTACTCTGGTTGATTCCTTCATAAAATTGTATTATTTTTCATGAGAATTCACAGATCCCAACCCTGGATTTTTTGAGATTAGTTCCCAATCCTGGTTTTTTTTTTAGAAAAAATACCAGCTATTTTTAATTTAATGTTTTTTTAATTTATTTTTTTATTTTCTTTGAAATTTTTTTTTCTCGAAATTTCCAGCCCTGGATTTTTCCGGCACTCCAAAAAAATCCTGTATATTTTCACAAATTTTCCATATATTTATAGGTTTATAACAGTTTTCATTTATTCATTAAAAGTTAGTACTTTTTATAGAAAGTCGAAACTCCCAACCCTGGAGTTTTTTGTTAGTGATTAAATAGCAATTTAACCTCCAAAAAATTCCATAACTGCAAATTTTCGTTAATTTGCCATGTTTATAAGTTTCCAATCTGGTGATTTCTTAATTTAATATTATTAGTTTTTATACGAACTCACAATTTCCAACCCTGCATTTTTTGAGATTAACATTAGCATTTAATAAGTTCCTACAATTTTTGATTTTTTTTTTAAATATCTTTCCTTTTTATTTTCTTTGAAATTTTTTTTTAATTTCCAACCCTGGAAATTTTTTGGCATTCAAAAGTTCCATTCTGTAAGCGTTTAAAAATCAATACAGTTTTCAATTTTAGTTTTTTTCGATTTTATTTTCTTCAAAAATTTTTTTGTTATACCAAAATTCCAACCCTGGAAATGTTTGGATATTTCAAATTTTCAACCCTTATATTTTTTGATTTTACGATTTTTTTTTAATTTTTTCGATTTTATTTTCTTTGAAATTTTTTTTTGTTATACGAAATTTCCAACCCTGGAAATTTTTGCGTATTTCAAATTTCCAACCCTGGAAAATTATGTCCATATTTATAGTTTCTAAATTTTTTCATTTGCCTATTAGCCATTATGATTCTTTATTAAATTCCAAATTCCCAGCCCTGGAATTTTGCTCTCAAAGAAAACATCACATTAAGCTCTTCTCTCTTTCTCTCTGTAAATTACCGTGGCATATGGGCTTTTCTTCATTAAATATTATTAGTTTTTATGAGAATTAACAATTCCCAACCCTGGATTTTTTTGAGATTAACATTTAAAAATCCCCACTAGTTTGAATTTTACAATTTTTGTTAATTTTTTCGATTTTATGTTCTTCGAAAATGTTTCGTTATACCAAGTTTCCAACCCTGGAAATATTTGAGTATTTCAAATTTTCAACACTAAAATTTTTAGTATTACCATTTTTTTAATTTTTTTCGATATTATTTTGTTCGAAAATTTTGAGCATTTCAAATTTCCAACCCTGGTAAATTTTGTCCATATTTATACTTTCTAAACTTTTTAATTTGCCCATTAGCCATTATGATTTTTCATAGAAATTCCGAATTCCCAGCCCTGGAATTTTGCTATGAAAGAAAACATCACATTAAGCTCTTCGCTCTTTCTCTCTGTAAATTACCGTTGCATATGGGCTTTTCTTCATTAAATATTATTTGTTTTCATGAGAATTCATAATTTCCAGCCCTGGATTTTTTGAGATTAACATTTAAAAATCCCTTCTAGTTTGAATTTTACGATTTTTTAATTTTTTTCGATTTTATTTTCTTTCAAAATTTGTTATACCTAAATTCCAACCCTGGAAATATTTGAGTATGTCAAATTATCAACCCTAAAATTTTTAGTATTACCATTTTTTTACATTTTTTTCGATTTTAAATTGTTTGAAAGTTTTTGAGCATTTCAAATTTCCAACCCTGGAAATTTTTGCGAATTTCAAATTTCCAACCCTGGAAAATTTTGTCCATATTTAGAAGTTTCTAAACTTTTTAATTTGCCCATTAGCCATTATGATTTTTTATAGAAATTCCAAATTCCCAGCCCTGGAGTTTTGCTCTCAAAGAAAACATCACATTAAGCTCTTCGCTGTTTCTCTCTGAAAATTACCGTTGTTTATAGATATTTTGATTTTATAACACCCAAAAAAGCTCTCTCTCTCTTCTCCCATGTTCTCTCTCTCTCCAAAAAGGGGTGAGAATTTGGGGGAGCTCAATTTGAAAATAAAAATCCCTCTTGGGCTCTTCATCATTTTTCTCTTTTTCTCTCTCTCTCTCTCTCTCTCTCTCTCTCTCCTTTATCCTTCTCCATTACAAATCGATACTCATGCCTCTCAGTTTTTACCATTTCAGCATCCGGCTCTCAATTACGATGGCATGGATCACGATGTCATTGTAATTAAATCGGAAGATATCAGCGACAATGAGCACTCGAACAATGGCGAGGCCATGGACGAGGATGACGATGATGATTGCATTAGTCCCAAGGATATTCCCGAGGTGTGTCTGGAGGAGGAGGATGAGGAGTTGTTTGCCACCGATTTGAGGCAACAACAACAACAGCAGCAGCAACAACAACAACAGCAGCAGTCACAAAATCAACAAAACTCAAAACAGCAACAACAACAAATGTCACAGAATTCAAATTCCCCCCAGACAAATGGTGGCACCCCCTTGGCCCAGCAGCCGGAGATTACCATACAAAATATTGGCGGCATAAGGGTGGGCAGTATAGGCAGCATGGCCAATATGAAGGCCTTGGCCAATTCCCTGAATAACAATAACAACAACAACAATAATAGCAGTAGTGGGAACAACAACAACAACAGCACAACAAATGCCTCGCTCAGCATAACCCCGCACACAACAAATGGTGGCACAAATAATGCCGCCCAAACCTTGAATCTACGCCAAGCCGAACAACAGCTGCTGCTGAGTGGCCTGGGTTTGAATCCCGTCAATTCCATGGAAACCAACTCCCCACGCCTGCCCAATCTCACACGAGGAGGCATTGCCTCTGGAACGGCGACCAATGGCCCTGCCTCAACGGCAACAAATCACCTGCAAGCCCCCAACCTGCATAACCACCTTACGCACCATTCCTCCACGCAACAGCTGTTGCTGAACATCAATGGCCTGGCGGCGGCGGCAGCTGCAGCCGGGGGTTCACCCTTTACCCCACCTGGCAAGAATTATGGCCATCAGCAGCATCAGTCACATCATCACCAGCCCCGACAAACCTCCACCCCCACCAGTGGCAGTCAGAAAAATGCCCAAAACGATTACTTTATGCTGGGCATAGAGGAGCGGAAGCTAAAGATAGAGCTGCTCAATGCCCAGATAGACTACTGGAAGAAACTGACCAAGAAGTTGGATGAGAACCCAGGGCACTCGCCAAATCCAGCCTGTATGTGTCATTTTCCCGGCAAAGCCAATGGCGTACAGACTCCCTCATCCACCAGCTAGGAGGAGGTGGAGGAGGAGGAGGTGATGGAGGAGCAGGAGCAACAGGATTTGAATGAGCCAGAGGAGGAGGGTGGGCAAGCAGATGAACCCCACCATGGGGTAACACCCAATCTCTTGAGGCCTTTAAATTATGATGGAATACAAGTCATGGATCCCCCCAGGGCCTTGGGAACCTTGAGGGAAAATCTTCCCAACAACAGCAGTAGCAGCCGCAGCTCTAGCCAAAAGTTCAAAAGAAATAACAAAAATTTAGAAATTGTAGATGTAAGTCAGACCATACAATGGCATGAAATCATTGAGGATGAGGAGGACGAGGAGGACGAGGAGGATGAAGAGGGCAAAAATGAGACTCAGAATGGTTCTTCTCCACCAGGTCAAGGGGATTTGGTGCAGCAACAAGAGGAGGATGACGATTTTGAACAAGAGGTACGCAAAATATTACAAAGCAAACGGCGACGAAAAAGATCAAAAAGGAATTGAAAAATTTTAGGGTTTTTTTTTGAAAAAGACTGAAAGTGAATTAAACGCAAAAGGGAAAACAAAAATTAGGGAAACCAAAGAAATGGGAAATTTGAGAGCATGGAAGATAAGTACGAATAAGTAAGTATAAGTAAGAATAAGGAAAAAAATAAAAAAAATATTTTTTTTATTTTCTAAAAAAAACAAAAAAATTAAAAAAAACTTCATTTTTTTGTAACTTCCAAAAACAATATTTTTCTTGCATTTTTTTTTTTTATTTTGTCAAAACAAACAAAAAATTTGGAAAAAAAAAGAAAAAATAATTTTTTTTTATTTAAAAAAAAAATCAAAAAACCTTAAAAAACCAAAAAAAATAAGAAAGATAACCAACTAAATGGGAAATTTGAGAACATCAAGCAAAAATTTCTTGAATTCAGATACAAAAATTTGGAAAAAAATAAAAAATAAATTCATTAAAATAAGACAAAATATTTTTTGATGTTGAAAAAATTTAACAAAATATTTTTTTTTTTAAATTAAAAAGAAAATGTGAACTTAATTTTCTTTTTAATTTAAAAAAATATATTTTTTTAAATTTTTTCAACATAAAAAAATATTCTATCTTATTTTTTCAACCAATTAATTTAATTAATTATTATTATTTTTTTGAAAAATAAAAATAATTTTCAAAAAAAAAATCAACTTAACCAAAGAAATTTTCAAATTTGAGCAGAGAGAAAAAGTAGGAGGAATTCAGATACCAAATTAAGAATAACATTGACAAATAATATTTTTATTAAAATTTCTATTTTTTTTAATTCCAAAAAAAATCCCTTAATTTCCAAAAAAAGTCTTATAATTTCCAAAAACAATTTTTTAAATTTTTTTAAAATTATATTGTCTTTTTTTTTGTTTTTTTAAACCAATTATTTTTTTTAATTATTTTTTTTTTTTTGAAAAATAATAATTTTCAAAAGTAAATAAAAAATCAACTTAACCAAAGAAAATTTCAATTTTGAACATAGAGAAAAAGTAGCAGGAATTCAGATACCAAATTAAGAAAAACATTGACAAATAATATTTTTATTTAAATTTCAAAAAAAAATAATTTCAAAAAAAATCTTTTAATTTTCAAAAAAAAAAATGTTTTTTAAAATTTCAAAAAAAAAAAAAATTTCTTGTTATTCTCTAAATTTTCAACCAATTTTTTTTCCAATTTTTTTTTACCAATTTTTTTCCCAAAATAAAATATAAATTATTTTATAAGTTATTTTAATTTCCAAAAATGATTCTTATTATTTTTTTTTTTGGAAATGGAAAACTAAAAAAATAAAAAGTTTTTTTTATAATTTAAAAACAGGTAAAAAAATTAAATTTCCCATTTTTTTTTAATTTCTCATTATTTTTTTCCATGTTTTCAAAATTCCCATCACTTTAATCTTATTTTGTTTTTTTTTTATAGAACAATTCCAATAATTAAAAAAATTGGATATTTTTTTTGAAAAAAAAAAATTTTTTGAAGAAAATAATTTTTTTTTGAGAATTAAAAAGTCGGAAAACATAATTTTTTAAATAATTTTTTTTTTTTTGAAAAATAAAAGAATTTGTTTGAATTTATTTTGGGAATAAAATAATTTGTAAAAAGTTTAGTTTTTCCGAAAACAAATTTTGGCTATCAAATTGTTTTCCAAAAAAAAAATGAAAATAGAAATTATATTATAAGTTATTTTAATTTTATTTTACAATGTAAAAACAGGTAAAAAAATTAAATTTCCCAATTTATTTAACTTTCTTATTATTTTTATGTTCTCAAATTTCCCGTTTCCTTAATCTTATTTTGTTTTTACAGAACTATTCCAATAATTATTTAATTTTTTTGAAATTGGATATTTTTTGGAAAAAAAATTTGGATGAAAATTATTTTTATGTTTTTTGAAAATTAAAAAAGTCGGAAAACATATTGTTTTTTTTTTTGAAAAATAAAAAAAAATTTAATTTTTTTGGGAATAAAATAATTTGTAAGAAGTTTATTTCCATTTTTTTAGAAAAATAAAAAAAAACAAATTAATTCTTTTTGGAAAAAAATTGTCAATTTTTTTGGAAAAAATGTTGATTTTTTTTGGAAAAAAAATTTAAAAAATTACTTTTTTTGAAAAGTAAATAAATTCCCAATTATTTTACTTTTCTAATTTTCAAAAAAAAAAAATAGAAATAATTCTATAAAAAAAAACAATGGTTTTTTTGAAAAATAAAAGAATTTTTTGAATATATTTTGGGAATAAAATAATTTGTAAGAAGTTTATTTCCATTTTTTTAGAAAAATAAAAAACAAGTTTATTCTTTTTCGAAAAAATTTTAAATTTTTTTTTTTTGGAAAAAATGTTGATTTTTTTTGGAAAAAAAAATTAAAAAAAACTTTTTTTTGAAAAATAAATAAATTCCCAATTATTATTCTTTTTAATTTTTAAATAAATAAATAAAATATGACCAATGGAATGACAAATTTGAGAACCTGAAGGAAAAGTACAGGATGAGATAAAAACTGCAAATAATTTTTAAATTTTTTTTCTAAATTTTATTGAATGAAAACAACAAATGTCGGAAATAGCATCAAATTTTAGAATAAGTTTAGATTTGTTCGAATTGGTGGTCACCTTTGGCATGAAATATGGCCTTCAAAAGGCCAATGAAATCATCACACACTTGTGGTTTTCCAGCCAAATATAAAGAAATCACACAATTACACGCTTGAATTCCATCACGAAAAGCTGTTTTTCTGGAAAAATCTCAGCAAAATGCTTTTAAGTTCGCTTGTAAACAATATAAAGAGCTGTCACTGGAATAATTTTTATTTTTTTATAATTTTTTCGGACAAGTGGCTTAGAAATGACAGCAGTCTGAAGTTGGTTGCAGTTTTTTCATCCCACCCCGTTTTTTTCATTTTTTTATTTTTTGTTCCAAAATCTTGTTATCTTTTATTTGCCCCAAAATGTTGTTTATTTTTCCAAAAAAAATATTTTTTCAAAAAAAAAAAAAAACATTTATTTTTCTGAAAACAAATATCAAACAACATCACCCTCAAGCCCTCATCTTCCCCTCAAAATTTTGCCATCAATAAAAAATTTCAAAATTTAAAAATAAAATTCAAAACACCCATCCCAACTCATTACTTGCCTGCAGCATTGTAAACAAATGTATATATCTATGAAAACACATGTTTTTAGCTAAAATTATACCAAAACCAAACCAAAAACACCCAAACAAGTAAATATAATTTAAAAATTTATTACTTTAAAATAATTACAAATCAATTGAGACATAAAAAGTCTGTTATAAAAATAAGAATTTTATTATGTTTTAAAATAATTTTTATAAGAAATGAAAAAAAAATGTTGATGTAAAAAAATTTAAAGAAATTGAGTGTATCATTTTTTTTGCAAAAAAAATATTTTTTTTTATATAAAAATATTTTTTTATATATATAAAAATATTTTTTTATATATAAAAATATTTTTTTTCTGTAAGTTTTTCTATCTTCTACTATCTTATTTTATTAAGCCTAAATCTAAATGTATGTTGTACAAAAGAAAACAAATATGTATGTGGTTCCTAATCTAGTCCTTTATATTATATACAATATATACTATATATATAAAAAATATATATATATACATTAAAAAAACAATTAGTTATAAATTTATGCATGCCTTTGATGGCATGTGTAGCTGAATGTATACTTCGATGTATTATTTACTAACCAAAACTAACAAAAAAAAGAGAAACAACTACTTAAAACAGAAACCAAAAAAATAGTTAAAATTAAAAAAAAACAAATTTTATTAAATTTTAATTTAATATTAAAAAATTAATTTAAAAATGAAAACAGAACCAAATAAATACCAAAAATAAATTTTGTAAAACCTAAGCCCATTGTTCATTTGTGTAAGGCCGCCCTTGCCGCCACCCCCTCCCTTTTTGAATTCAATGCCAATTTTGTAACACCTGCTTGCCATATTAGTTTTAATTAAATAATTTAATTTTAAGTTATTTTCCTAATTTAATTTAAGCCATATTTTTTGTTTATTTAGTTTTAATTATTTATTATTTGATTGTTATTTTTTTCTATTTTTCGTTTTTCTGTATTCACATTTTATTATTTAGTTATTAGCATTATAATTAAAAAATTATCTTTTTTTTTGGCTAAAATTAACTTGTCCCCATGTGACCTACTACTAACTTCTAAATCCCCTTAAGTATTTCAATGTACTTAATTTTATTTCATCTCTAATTTTAATTTACCATTATATTAGGTTTTAGAAAAAATATTTACAAACACACACACAAATCCTAAATGTATTTTTTCTGTCTAGTCTTTGTATATACAGAGTATTTTAATAAAAAAGTAAAAAAAATTTTATTAAAAAAAAATATTTTGAAAAAAATGTGTTTTATTTGTCTGTAAGGGAGGTGAGATAAATATAATTCTCAAATTTTCCCCCAAAACTATTATAGCTACAGGTTTCTTTGACACCATGACCTTAGGTGAAATTTTCTGGAGAACATTTCTTCCATTGAGGCCAACAAGCTACAATATAGTGATCCTGCAGTTTTGGTCTTAATTCCAATGTAACCCTGCAAACAACAAGGAAATAAGTATGTTTATATATTTAAAACTTAAAATTAATTTTTCCTTCATATACATTGTAGTTGCGGATTTCATTTCTTTAGTGACCTATACTGAAATTTTATGGAGAATCATTCTTCCTTTGGGACCAACAAGTTACAATAATGTGATCCTGAAGTTTTGGACTTAATTCCGATATAACCTTTAAATAACAAGACAATAAATATTTTTAAGGTATTAAAAATTTAAAATAATTTTTTCATTACAAAATCTTTTTTGTACAGATTTCATTTGTTCAGTGACCTATAGTGAAATTTCATGGAGAACATTTCTTCCATTGGAAAAAACAACCTACAATATAGTGATCCTGCATTTTTGGACTTAATTCCGTTGTAACCCTAAAGCAACAAGATCATAATGATTTTTTCTGTATTTTGATAATATAAAAT